GTATATATATATTATTATTATTATTTTACTTTATTTTTTCTTTTTTTATTTCTCAATTGAAGATGCGTCCTACTTTATGAGAATGTCGCAGACAATTAAAAAAACAAAGATATCGTGATATGAGAAATATCTCGAGTCGCGTTTAATCGAATGATTTCGAGTTGTGCCTGTGATCTCCGATAATCTTTATATTTTCGTACTATATAAATAACTTCGCCTCTGCTATTGTCGATCAATGCGATAAATAAACTCCTTTTTTTTCTCTTGAACGTTCTCTATAGCGATATCTTAGTGTAACATGTGTTTTAGCGTAATATATATGTATATATATATATCACGTTTTTTACATTGATTTCCTTGGCTATCGGTAAATATATTCGCCCTATTATTTAAATATTTGATTATAGCGAACAATTGCAAAAAAGTGGCAGTAAACTAACAATTAGAGAAAATTCTTTATAGAGACAAATGCAACATTTTTTCTGAAGCAATAATTAACCGATATATGATAAATCTCGAACAATCTACTTGTATATGCCTATAATTCCTTTTCTTTTTCAATCTGTTAATGGTCAATCAGTATAGGCCTACGATCCGTTGATACAGACGTCTTTAATGCAACACTTTTTTTGCGTCAGTGACCTTTAAAACTATCGCGCTTTTGTTTGAGCGATATCGTTGAATTTGCCTGAGGTAAACTTTCACAATCGATTATTCTCTTTTCTTTTTTTCTTCGGCAGCAATTGCGACGGTTAATTTTAAACTAATTCGTCAAATTCGCCGTGCATGTATGTATATGCCAATCAGTTCAGACGCTCTATTGCATTTTCTAACTTCAGTTATTACCGCTAGTCAAACATCGGGCAAGCTGAAACAGGACATGTGACTGTGTAAAATCATCAGGATACGCGAACGTGTAACGCGACATCATGAATTCAAAGTATTCCATTATATAACATCCCTCTTAATTTGCAGCAATCAGCGCATATTATAACGGAACACGCGGCCTGTTACTATTCCCCTTCTGCATTAATCCTTCTCTTATTAATCTTTCTTTTCTACAATATCCTTGGCTGCTAAGAATCTCTACCTTTTCCACATACTGCAAACTAAGAACAGGTGTATGATAAAGTATCTCTAATATGCTCCATAACAATGCTGTTTATGTATATTAATGTGAAATAAATGATATAGTCCGACTTTTTTTTATTGAAAACGTGCCTGCGCGTGTGTCGCGCAGGATTATACATCTCTTTAACAACACGTTCTACTGTCAAACGTTAACAAGTGTAGTGGCCGATGAGTGGCAAGGGAAGGAGATGGATAAGATGGGGACAGGGAGGGTTCGATATGGCACTAAAGGGTATGGAGTGCGGGTGACACGCAGAAGATTCCTATTCTCTTTTTGTTTTTTTACCCTTGGCATAAAACGCGATTCTGAATGCCATCGTCCTGGCGGTTCTTTTTGCATTATCCGTTTCTCTCTCTCTCTCTCTCTCTCTCTCTCTCTCTCTCTCTCTCTCTCTTTCTTTCTCATCTCGCATCCGGTTTAATGGAGCTTAATGTGAAGTGGAGTGGTGAAAATACGATGGAACATGATTTTTTTTTACGATGTAGCCTAACACACACAGCCAAGTAACGTGACACGCGAGTCACCCTCCGCGCGGAGATGAGTGTCAAATTCAGTTAATAGTTACTGTAACAATAGTCATAGTTAGAATTGAGGCGAGTCAATGCAATTCCTACAGTTCCCTGATTACTACGCTTACATCTCCACATTTCTTTAATATTTATATTTATATATATATATTTCTTTTACGAGAGTTATATAATTTTACGTTTCCTCCCTTAATTCATCCGTGTCATTCTTATGCACACGTGTGCGAGAGTACACGCGTGTGTGTACAGATACGTAATTATCTTCCTTTCCTATCTATCTTTCTTTTTTTGTCTCGGATAGAGTCGATCAATTATAATTTTTAACCTGCTCAAACTCGCAGTGATGTAATTCCGTAAAAGATTTAAGAAACTAGCTACACACAATCTACACGCTAACTGTGTACTGTGGTACAACTAACAACGACGCGACGTGTACACGCGTGTTACCCATCGCGCCGCGATCCTCTCTCGCGCTTTTACTGCGGGTTCTTGGAACGGAGAAATATATTTTAAACTGTACAAAACAAAGCGCTGTATGAAAAAATAAAAGACTCTCCTAACAAAGGCGGGCGACGACTGCCGGTTATCTAATCGTAACACATCATCCTCTCGCTTAAACAACTCGTAGGTAACATTAACTGGCCGACCAATACTGCTTTTGCCACCTTGTGCAGATGCAGCCGCTGCGAGATCGCCGCGCCAATCGTTCGTCGGATAAAAATCCTCAAACGACGCGCGTGCGAGTGTATCCGTCTCTTTCCGTTCCCGCGATCCCGATTGGAATCGAATCGTGATCCTTACTCGATTTCCTTCGAAATGTAGTAAAAATAAGCGAGAAATATTTTTCAATCGTCTTCTCCCGACGATTTACTGATCACGTGATCTTTGAATGAGAAATTTAAAGGGGGATGCATGGCGCTGGTAGTGATTTCTCTTGGAATCGTTGGCTCGGAAAGGACTGAACAATTCTCCATCGCGAATCAATATGTCGTTACACATGATACAATATTTTGTCACCAATACGTAACATGTAATATCTTGCTGTTAATATATTGCGGCATGTCGATTGTCGACCTGATATTTTTATGACAAAATCATCACCGCTATTGACCGCGCATGGGGGACCGATTCGTGCAGCTTGGAGTTTACACGCGGAACCGTGCGACTTGTTATCATATTGATGTTATCATTAAATACCTCGATACTACGTAAGATGTCGAAGATACAAACATACATTCACACACACACACACACACACACACGCGCGCGCGCGCGCGCGCGCGTGCTGATGCAGTAACGCATATACACTTACGCCGTTAAGCAACATCGGAAAATTCCGCCGAGGGTATTACTTCGATAACAGCGTACCGTGATTTGTGTTTCGTTCGCTCTTCAATGGATGTTATGCAGCGTGACAATCTTTGGAAGCGAGTATAAATGCAAATCCATTAACGTCAGAACGGGTCAGAAAGGCGTTATTAAAATTCTTTACATTTTTTTCCCTTACTGTTATAATTTTTTGAATTCTCAAAAATATATCTATACCAAGTAATTGATTATTATCTGCGTTTTAGGAATACCTCTTAATCGGAGATACTCCTGAAATATTCTTCGTTACATCGGATAAGAGATTACTAGAGGAAACACTACAGGGCCGCTGTCGAAATAACGCTTTCGACGTAAAAACTCTGCAAACTCTACGCACAATAGTATCGACGTGATTACTAAAATGTAACAGACAGTACACTTTAAATCAATGTTACATTAAAGAGAACTTATATTAGACTGGCTGATTCACGCTGTGGCTCTTCTATAACGTGACTTTCTCCGTGCTCTTTTCACCTATATTTGATTCTTACCGGAATATACGCAAGGAGATTCTTGTTCCATGAAATTAAACGCGTTCTACACAGGAAGAGAAATCGGCCTCGTCCTGATGTCTTGTCGTATACCCCCTACCATGATAAAAACAACACGGATATATCATTGTGTGCGCAATAAAGATCGCCCTGTAACGTACTTAACTGGGGCATGTTAAATTTAACCATCTGCGTATTGATAAAGCTTCTGTTTCCTTCCTCGATCTCTCGTCGCCTCGGCCGAACTTTTCGTATGTCGTCGCAAGCACTTTACTTTACCTGCGCAAATAAATCCTACAATTTTACATTCTATCAAATGTGGCTCGTCTCGTGTCATCTTTCATGTACTGGCAGCTGGTAATAATATAACACTCTTTTTTTCAGTTTTTCCATCACAGCTAGTCTTATATGTAATCTGCTCTACTACGGAATGTTTAATATCAGAGAGAACTCGTAACCCTATTCTAGTTTAACGAGGGTGTTACCTACAAGTTGTTCGCCAGAGAAGGACCACCTCCTACACGCCTACCTTTTCCTCGCCCCAGATATTGCGTCTCTACAAATATGTACGTCATAACTTGTATCATTTGTACCAACAGGTGATGCATATCACAAAATTAGTGTGCTTCACACTCCATGCTAACGAAGATACGAGAGGTTACGCCTACGTAACCGATTGTTTCTTGCAATTTATGTATCGTTCGAGCGCCGCTAAGATTATTGGGTGACTATTGCAAATGTACGATAACGGACAATGAACAAGCTCGAAGAGACGGATAAGCGGATCGAAGACTCAAGTTCCTTAAATGAAGTGCAGTGATTGCTCATACGAGCAATCACGTTCCCGAAAAACCACAGTTGATGAGCGAATTTCAAGATAAAAGTCAAAAATCTGTCATCCGATCTCGTTTATCCGGCGTTACAATCGAATAAAGGCTACACGAATAAAAGTTATAATATTTCTCACAACTTTAACAACGAGAATATAAAATAACGATATCAATTCTCAGAAGATATCTTCACAATTCGACGCGTCTGTCTGCGAATAAATATTAGGACGATAAATAACGTACGATCGCATGATTATGAGGGACAAATATAAATAATATTAAATCTATAATAGGTAACGTACATATTTGCAGCAGTGGCAATGTCAAAACTGTGTTTGTGTCCTACAGTAAGCATTCGCGAGCGATAAACGACTAATGGCAAATCCGAATGACAAACGCTTCTCTTTTCTTTCTTTCACGCACTCGTCTCTGTATCAACAACGCGACAAATTTAGCAGCATTGTTCGCCCTACCGGCAGTCAGCCAGATAATATTCGTAGCCATCTCTAATAGAAGATTTTTTTAATCTCGATGAGAATCAATGGTAGCCAATCTAATATGATGACCAGATAATGCATGACGATGTTTATTATTATATATTAATCAATGTAATGAAATATATTATGCTGCCGTTAGCGTTAATAGCACGAAGGCCATTAGAACACACTAATCCATAAATTAAATTAACACTATTAATTTACATTTATGCTCTCTTAAAACTTTAGAATCAATCTATCTACAGCAATCTAGTTATTTATTCCATATTTCGGTGACTTTTCAATGTATTTGGGCAACACAGTGAAGTTTAATTGATAATAGTTCACATAGAATTTATGGATAAACATAAATCTGTTTTTTCCTCTTTGCGGACGCAAATATTTTGTCAACAATTTTTATAATATCATTTTACATTATATATACATATATCTATATATATATA